GTAATAATCCTAAATTGTGATTTGTTCAGTCAGAACAAATGAAGGAATCTCTGTTGTGACAGTGCTGTGTTGCTCAAGAGTAAAATCATCACACACTGTTAAAGCCCTCCTTCGGGAGAAAATACATTGTAAAATAGTATCAGAGAAATTGAACTTAGAAAGTAGACAAGAATATTCTGGTGCTTGCTGGTTTTTTCCCCTATATATTTTTGCCTTCTTACATCTAATGATACATATTTCACCACTAGTACAAGCCTAAAAGATGTCAGTCTTAGACATCCAGAAAAATTGAAATTCTCCTGAAATTAAAGAAGAAAAACAATTTATAAATGTGATAGCTTTTTTCCCCCTCTCCTATTAGATGTCTTTTATAGTGTATTAGATGGATAACTGAATAGCTAAAGAAAAAAAATGAGCTTTTCTCAGTTAGTTGTCATTTATACAGCACTTGGCTTAACTGACTGCGAACACAGGATAACTGAAACTATTCTTCATGTAAATTGTCCATAAATAATTTTTTTAAATGTTAAGGATACGAGCATATTCTCTAAAAGAGTGTGTGCTTCCAGCCTTAATAAATATGTCTGTTGACTACTACAAGGAAACCAGCACCTCCATTCAGTTTAATCTTTATTTAATTTTTAAACTTTTATCCAATAAATATAAAGTTAGAACAGTCAAATATACACATCAGTTCTCTGTAAATAAGAATTATCAACCACCTTTCAAGTTTTTAAATAAACATGTAGTTGCATTCTGTGCAACATTTCAAAGCACTGACTTGCCATTTATGCCCAATCACTGTTTTTCAGCTGGAGTCTCCTTGATTTCTCAGTGTGTCAATGTATTATAGCATTAGTCTAGTAAAAAAAAATAATGGCTAAAACTCAGTCTTTTGTATGAATTCCTCTGTTGCTGATAGGAACTCCTCATTATCTTATTCTGTATGTTCTTAAGAAGCTATGACTCAGATATTTCTTCCTTCTGCAAACCTGTGCAACTGTTATGGTTCTGGCTATACTTGTACCAGGAATAAGGAAAAATAAGATTTTAAAGATTTTACTGTTTGCACCATGGTAATGGCTATTGACTGCATTTCCAATGCCATAGTACTCTATCCTCATTTTAGTTTGAGCAATGATTTTGAGAGTGGATTCCTATTTTTTTGTAGGAGCTGAGCCTTTATACTGCTTTTAATTTGGAGTGTTCAGTGGCATTTGCTGTACTTAAAAACCCAGACACTTGAACCGTATCACCTCTTCCACAACTTAAACTAAAGAAAAGATTTAGTCTTCCCTTTCCCACATTGCCCCCTACCCTTTCCTGCTAATGGACACAACAATGCTGACCACAGGCATAATCAGTAATTCCTAGAGAAATTGTGCTAGGAACAGTCAGATAGAAAATGGGTTTAAAAGAAAGCATGAGGCTTAGCCTACAGTAGGTGCAAATCATTTACTACAGGGCTGTCAGTGGGGAAAAGGAGAACTTTTTTAACCATGATGTAAGGAAATCTTTCTTGGATCACTGGGATCAATAAATATAAGAAAACACTGTATTATATCTGCAGATATACTTTTGGTTTAGCTTTTGTGAGGTCTTTTAAATGTTCATCTAACTTTACTTTGGTATCAAACACTGAAGGTGCAAGCACAGTTTTTCACCAGGCACGTCAATCTTTCCTTGTGTTGTTAGGAGGCATTTCTTATGAACAATTTTTAATTAGAGGAAGTTCAGTAACTAATTTAGCCAGAGCTACCTCGGTTGTTTCAATGTCCTTAGAGGGACCATGAGATCATTAATATTCTGTAACTTTCTTCTGTGTATTTACTCTGGAAGGAAAACAACAGACTTCAAAGGGAAAGGAAATTATCTTCCTTCCCTGTTTTTTGTGAAGAAAGTACAAACATATGGCTTAAACTGCAATCTTTTCTTGCTACATTTTGATATTAAAAGCACATTCTTTTAGCTGTGTGAGAGCTGTGATGTCCTGTAATAAATTTTATGGGAGGGTTGTGGAGATTCAGTTGCTGAAGTTCTGTGAGAACATAATAGACTACCATCTGCCCACAGCTGCAGATAGTTAGCGCTGCTTCCTATGAGAAAATGGACTAAATGTTGTTCTAGCCAGCCCCATTTTCTGTGATTCTGTATGTTCTAGTCATTATATTGTACAGTGCACAAAAATGTACAAGCAAGGAGATAAATCTTTATGGACAACATACAAGGAGCCAAAAAAAAAAAAAAATTATCCCTTCATGCATTTCATTAGAATAATTGTATGCTCTGTTTGCAATTGTAGACCCAATGAAAGAAGTAATTCATGTTCTCTTGCTGATTTTGGATACCACTCACAAGAGATAAGTCTCAATATTTTTGGACGTATGGAGGGAGCATGTTACACTGGTTTTGGTTTAATGTAATATGAGGAACTGTGTATATTTAGAGCTTTTGGAAGATCAAATTGCATTTAAAGCTGTCAAACCACCAAATTCTCCTTTCTGACTATACGATTTTTGTATCCTTGGTACTTAAATGTCAATATTTTTTTTTCTGTCATGCATTTGCATGCGTATGATGAGATATGATGGGAGTTTTTGTTTCCACAAAAAGCAGACATCTTGGAAGTTTATTGGGTTTTGGAGGATTGAAATAACACAAATTCTTAAGTACTGTACTGTACTGCATTCATGCTTCTTAATGTTTTCTTGGTTTTCAATTAGGTCTGTTGAAACAGTTCATTCACTTGGGTTTTAGGGCACCTTTCCTAAGAAGACAGTTTGAGAGAGCTGGGGTTGTTCAACCTGGAGAAGAAAAGGTTTCATGGAGACCTTGGAGTACCATTCCAATGACTAAAGAATGCTGGAGAGTGACTTTTTTCAAGAGCAAGCAGTGACAGGGCAAGGAGGAATGCCTTTAAAGTGAAAAAGGGGAGAGTTAGATTAGCTATTAGGAAAAAACTGTTCCCTGTGAGGGTGGTGAGACACTGGCACAGGTTGCTCAGAGAAGCTGTGGCTGCCCCATCCCTGGCAGTGTTCAAGGCCAGGTCTAGTGGGTCTTGGAGCAACTTGCAGTGGAAGGTGTCCCTGCAGTGGGGTTGGAACTAGGTGAACTGTAAGGTCCCTTCCAACCCAAACCATTCTATAATTCCATGATAATATTTTTCTTTGGTTATTGTTAAAATCTGTTGGCCTTCCCTCATCAAATGGTGATAACATTGTTATTTCTGAGAGTTAGAGCTTATATGCTCTTCGGAAGGACATATCTATTGCTTTATAACTACAGTGGAACTATATCACAGCTGAGTTTTCTATGGGTGATTATGGCCAGATTCATTTCACAAACATGAAGAAATGTGACTGGCCTAATGCTGAGTCTGAAGCTCTTTTAGGACAGAGTTTAATTCAAACTTATGTTGTACATACAGTTGTCATTTTTTGAGGAAGACAAATTTTCTCCTTCATCATTGGATGCTGAGACTTAATGAGTTTCAGGCACCAATTTATTGCTTTCATTTCCAAATCTTCCGTGTGCTGTAGGTGTTTTTAATGAATTATTCATTAGATATTTCTATCAGTTGTATATACAAAAAGAGATCAAAAATCTGTGTCCTGTGAAGACACAGATGGGTAGTTGCTGACTATTTAACATGCTAGTAAGTTCTAAGTAGGCATAAGTAATAAAACTGATGCCTGCTTTCTGTTGTATTTTTTTTCCTACTGATCATTTGTGGTCTTAGAAAATTACTTACTTTTGACAAAGTCCCAGAGATTGTCAGGTAGAAAATATGATGGCCCAGAGTTGTTCCTCTAGAAGTACAGTCTTGAAAGGAAACCTTGGTATAGATTTCATCCTTAATAAAGTTTATTGTCCATGAAAATGCTTTACACAAAATAATCCTCTCAACAAATGTCTGTGTGTATTCTGCAAGCTCCCCCCAATCAGTCAGTAGCATGCTGGACTTTGGCATCTTTTTCATACAGCTTTATCAGAGAAACTAATTTTAAGTAAGAATATTCTGCCTAAGTGTTCTTACAACCTCAAATGTGCTTGCTGAATGCACTTTTCATATTATATAAAATACTTTTCCTGCTTTTTTTTTTTTTTTTTATATAAATAGCTGAGAAGGGAGTAATTTTGCCCTGTTTATACTGGTTTTAGGCCCCAAGCAATGAGATGCTGACAGACCTTAAGGGATGCCTGTACCACTTAAATTCTTTGTGACTTCTTTAGAAGTACAGAGGACCTCAAAGAATAAAGCTCTGAAAATTTTAGTAAATGAAAACTTTTTTAATATTAATGGACAATTTTCATTACGAATCAGTAAGAAATTACAGATAAATTCTAAAATTTCAGACCCAGTTTCCTCTCCTTTCTAGCAACTTTGCAATGAGTTGTGTTGAATTACTGAGCTCCAGCAGCCAATAGAACTAAATTACACAGTGGTAATTTAAGTATGAGGCTTACAGGCAGCATACATGCATATTTTGCTATGACAAGTTGCAAAAGGTGCTGTTCTGGAGCAGCGTGGCAGTATTTCTGCTTCTTAGCCATTCATTTGAACTCCTACAGCTGTTTTGTTACTAAACAATGAATGAAGTAATGAGTAGCCCTCCTGCCTGTTGGCCTAGTAGGAGAGCAGAGAGACTCAAATACATTTAACAGTACAGAAAAAAAGAGTTAATCAGATGCTTTCTTGGTTATTGGCAAGGGAGAGCTCCATATTGGCAAAACCAAAATCAAGTATCAGGCAAACAATCATTGCATTCCCTTGTTCGCAATGGAAGAAATTGTCAAGTAATAACAGCATTATCAGCAGTTCTGTTAGAAAGCTTCACCGTTATATAAAGCCAGATGACAATTGCTTGACTATTACAAAAGAGATCTTAGGAGAGAAAGGCAGCGGGTGCCTGTGCCCTGTGTTTGGAGAAGGAAGCACAAGTCTCTTATTCTCCCTGAGGCAACCAGGCTTTTGCAATCACTGTCTTGAACTTGGATGTGTCCAGTAGTTTTGAGCAACATTCACTCTCCATCTGACTTTGGTGCTAGAAGGCCACTACAAATATTCCAGACCTCAAAAGGAGCTCAGCTGGATAGGTCTTCCTGCAATATCACAAATCCACATGTTGCAAGGGCCAGTGATTATTTTTAGGCTGAATCAGCAGCTAATTTTTGTGCTTGTGCTGATAGTCCAGGGCAGGCACAATATTCCTCTTTGCTCTTCTACTTGGTTGCGAAACATAATAAAAAGGGATTGCACTTTTCTCTGCTTTTTCCCAGCAGGTTCATGGTGGCATTCCTCCTACCTAATTCCTCCTACAGGTCTATAATCCAAATTAGAGAAGCAGTATTTTTCTCATCGTATTTTAATAGTGCAAAACACGTCCATTACATATCTATCTGGTCTTCCTGGAAATGAAGCAGACATTTAATTCAGAAAGACTAATTGAAACATTACCTCTGGCACCATTACAGGTACTTCAGCCCTTTATTGATTTGAGTTTGTCATTGACACCTAGCTTTCCTTGCAGATAATGATGTAGAGCCTGGTGAGAGAATAAGATATTGCTGCTACAAGAACAAGAAGTTACTGAGGTGAATGCACATATGACACATACACTTTCTTAAATCTTCCCACATAAACGAGATCTGTCAGAGCTGTGATCATTCGACGAGGCTGGTCAGAAAGTTTGTCAGTAGAAAATTCCATTTCATTGAAACTAAATATCTCATGGCATGGAGCTGTGTCTATTTTGGCAGGCTTTCTCACTGAAAGTTTTATCAGGCCCTATACAACCCAGCTTTGAAAATTTCCAGGGATGGGGCATTCACTGGTCTAGTCCACTGGTTGAGGAGAAGATAAAATGAAAAACAAACCTCTCTGAGCAGAAAAGAGATACTTGCAAAATTACAGTTTGTTGAAAGCTTTTTAAGGTTTAACATTTTTTTCACAGTAGAATGAAAAAATAATTTAAAACTTTGCATAATTGCATTTCTGGTCCCTGTTAACCATCTCTGTTACACACGTAGCTGTTGAATACAATCTTCCTGCAATCTTTTGTTAATTCTTAGTTTTTAAATGTCAAAGTAAGGATTAGTACAGATGATTTTATGTCAAATATTCAGAAAGAAAAAAAAACTCAGGAAGAAGAGAGGAGGAGAAACAAGGTAGTTATCTAAAGGAAGAGAAGTAGAAAATCTGCATAAGACTGAGGTAGATACTGCACCTGAATTAAAGGCTAATGCAGTCTAATTTAAGATCTAACAGTGAAGACAGAGAAACGGAAAAGCTCCAGAGGTGTTTGGAAGTTAATGATGCAGCACTGTAGTAAAGCCCAAATTAAATTCTCAGCTCTCATTGCAAAACCACATTAACACTAAAGTACTAAACTCATGCTGCTTGGTGCATTACTATTCCTGAGTGTTTTTTCTTTTTTTTTTCACTGCCAAGTAATGACAAGATGTTGTTTTTTTTCCAGCTCCTACTGCTAACTGAAATTTTTCTTAGAATAAATGACAGAATTCTGAGTGACTGAAAATATGAAGTAACTGTAGAACCTTTGATGCAAGCAGTGAGGAAACTTGATTATAGAAAACTGTGTCAAATTATTTAACCCCCTGAAATCATGGAGATATATATATACAAAAAAAAAGAAAACAAAACCCCCCCAAAAAACCCAAGCAATCCCCATTTTCTCAAGTTCCTGCTTTTTGCAACATTCTCTTTAATTTTCAAGATTATTAGTTTTATGGAGTCCATTTAATTGCTGTAAATTTGTGCAGAAATGCTTCCTTTCCTTTGACTCATCTAATTTAGAGCTTCACTTAGGGTAGTTAGAAAAACCAAAGATTCATGAGTACTCATTTGTAAAAGCAGCTGATTTTATAATTTACCCCACAAAATCCAGATCAGAAAATACCTGAAGGGTAGGATCTGTGGTGTCCTCATGGGATGAGATGCTTTCAGCTAGTTCTTTCTCCCTTCATGAAAGAATTACACATGGAAAATTTCTAAAGTGGATTAAAACAAAACCTTATTGCACTTCAACTGATTTGAGTAACAATATTTATACCACCAATCTTTCAAGATATCCTAAAATACAGCAAGTTTACTGTTCTCTGTCAGGTATTTCATCACATGTTCTTTAGTAAAGTAGTGTCTTAAGGCAATATCACCAACTCAAATCAGAAGAGAGAAAAACAAACCTGTCTTTTACCTTCTACGGAACCAGATGTGAAATATAAAAATAAGTACAAAACATACTCAAGAAAACTTGAGAAAATGTACAATAATTGATTAGACTATTTGAGTAATTGTTTAAATTAATCACTCCTTAAAAGTTATTACATGAATACATTTCATATAATAACATCTTACTGCATAGATATCTCATATTTTCATTTTGTAATGGACAAAGTAAGGACAAATGTATCATAGACAGGGATGATACAATTTACTTAGTGCCATATTCACTGCTGCAGTGAAAAATCTCAGCTAAAACAATTGTGCTTCTACAGCCATTGAGTTTGTGCTATACCACATTGATAGGAGAATCATTTAAGTTACTTAAGTGAGTGGGCTACAGCCACACAGGTGTATAAACCCAATATTTCTGTCTTCCTCCCCCCTTTCAATAAAAAGTAAATTATGGCTAGACTACTATCACCAAAAAGATTTCATATATCATGTTTACAAGGACCCAGATCTCCCTGCGTTCTGAGTGGTCTGTGCCCAAACTGTTCCCTGCTCACTTTAACAGTTTGATAGAAGTTGCTGTCTACAGCCTCACCCTATACTTCTTGCCACTGAAAGAAATAGCTTTTAAAGTCTTCCAACAACCAGAACACCAGATAGAAAATTTCCTTTTTATATCCATTAGAATTAAAAGTACTAGTTGCTATCTTTCAGCTACTTAGTAATTTCAGGACTTGGAAATCCTGTTGACTGACAGCCAGAATCAAGTATTAAAAAAAGCTAGCAATGATTACCTTGTTTTCCCATCTTGATTATTTAGGCTATAAAACCTTTGCTTAATATATAATGCAAGTTTTATTTTCAGATTGAAAGATACTGACCTTCAACAGGCTCATTCTATTTTATGTGCTTGAGGGCCTTTTCACTTAGAGTTGAAATAAATACATTTTAACCAGTGGTTTTCTTTTCTTTTTGGATGCAGTCTGTATTATGAAACTGATACACTGATATGCGAAGCTAATTAAATCAGAAGTCTCATACAAGTATCCTTTCTCCAGACTGTTTCTGACAGTATGATTGGCCTATAACTCTGATACTCTGCATCATTATTTAGGAAGGATATGGATCTGCTTGAGGAAGTCCAGAGGAGGGCTATGAAGATGACCAGAGGGGAAGACCTCTCCTGTGCAGACAGGCTGAGAGAGTTGGGCTTATTCAGCCAAGGACACAAAAATGTTGGTTATCTTGAATGAAGAACTTACTATTCCTCAAAAAAAAGAGAAGTATCTTCTTAAGGACACAAGAACATTATAGCATGTAAAATTTCTTGAATGTAAAAATGTATTAGTTGTGAGCTTCCAAACTGAAAAAAAATACACTCTTCCCAAAAAGCAGTATCAGCAATACTTAGAATAAGAACAAAAAACCCCAAACATTTGATCCTCAGAATCAAGCTTGAAAATCACGAAACTTCATTGTAAATCTGAGTCGTTGGACTTGTTTGGTGTATTGGTTTTGATATTCTATACCAGCCACTGATATATGGGTTGTACTCAGAGCAAGGACAGTGAAAGATTTTAATCTACCACAGAAACAAGAGACGTTACATAACAGAAAATTTGATGGCTTTGGAAGCCTGGAAAACTTCAAATTTTTCTTTTGGCTTGAGCCTGGTATGGAACATGCCATCTGGAAGGCTATTCATGACTATATAAGCATTATATTAATGGTAATGGGGTTTGTGAAGACTCAATAACACCTTTCCAAGACCTGGTCTTTAAAACATAAATCAGGTATCATCAGACTTACAGTAAAATCCCTGAGTTGGCAAAACATCAGTACTTCCTAAATTAGTCAGTTCAGCCTGTCTGCTAGAGGGAGAATATACTTTTGATACATGCAAATGTAAAAAAAAAAAAAAAAAAAGGTCAAAAAAAAGGAGAAAGACAGAAAAATAGCTAATCTAAATAGTGATTTATTTTATTTGTATGATGTTCGGGAAAATGTTAATTCACTCTCTTATATAAACAGGAAGCAAAAAAAAAAACCCTCCTCAAGCCACAAATTGCCAAAGCATTCGTAGACCATTCCTGATCACTCCTGATAATAAGCTTTTTTCTGTGGAGTCCATTTCACCCACTGTGCAAAGTGCAGCTCCTTGCTCTCAGATTAATACATTTATTAAAACTTAATGAAACATTTGTAAACTTAATGAAGCACTCTGGAAATTAAAACAAAGGCAAGCCAATGTCCTTTTAAATGGAAACTGGGCCATCCTGCTAATACCACTGGAACATCTGAAATCGTGCTAAGCTTTTAATGTGCCCTTTGGGGTTAATACGGTAGATCAGAGTACCACTGAAAAACCTGTTACAGTAAATACTTTTTTTTTTTAAATTTGCATCTCTGAAAGCTTCAGTCAGATATGGGTATTTACACTGCACTCTGTATACTTAGTGATTTTCTAGACAAGTAAGAAGTATAACTGCAGTAAGGTATTACCAATGGTAGTAATGGATCACAGACTTTGGATTGAGTTTGCAAAGCCGTACCACTAAGCTTTATAAGGCTTTCTTTCTCTGAACTTTTCTTGACTTCCTGGCAGTAGCTTTATTTTACTCAGTTTAGCTGTTACAATTATTATTTTTTTTCATAGCAACTAGATGGCTACACTAATTTATTTTTCTCTTTCTTGTCGTTCTATAGTACAGAGTTTTTTATATAAATAGTACTATGATTTAATTATTTTGTGTAGCAGAACACAACTTGAACATGATGATGTAGCATGGAGGACTACAGACTATACAATGGCAGAAGTGTTGAGACATGCAGCATAGGCTGCAGCATAGATCAGACCAGCACAGGATGAGAGGTAGGGCATAGGCTTGGCACCAGACAGTTCAGAGTCAGTTAAAAAACAAAGGCCTGGAGTTGTACAGAATTAGTTTAGAGGTAAAAGGGAGAACAAATCCGAAATATCTAACCTATACAAAATGCAACACATGCAGTGAAATCACATACTGTAGCAACTTTTACACCAGTGAGCAAGGTGTATAAGCTTGCTAGAAAACATGAAAATATGAAGGATGTCCCTGGGAACTGGGAATGGAAAATATCCTACTCTTCCCAGCAAAGGAATTGAGATGCTTATAACTTGCTGTACCTTCCTCCACATGCATCTGCCTAGAGCCAAATAGTAAGTTTACTGATTATTATGATATGTTGCTGTTACAATTATCTTCTGTGTAGTAGTATTTTACTCTGGTTTTATTCTAATAATTTAATCTCTATAAATATTAATTCTCTAATTATTCGTTAAGGTTTTAAAAATGACCATAAACTCTTGGCTTTACATATAATGTGTGCTCTATCGTTGTCTGTAACAAGGTTTTTAACGTTAACAGAAGCAACTCATAATTGTTATGGGCATTTTTTCTTTGCCCTTTCCTATGAAGTTGTCTGAGCAATGGAGTACTTCTTTGTCTGAAGAAGTAATTAATTTTTTGGCAAGATATTTTTCTGGTGGGAAGAGGATAAATTTCTGTCTTTGAGTATGTGTTTGTATGTGTGTCTTTTCAACATCAAGGCCTGTGTGTGTCTTTTTAACATCAAGGTCTTCTAAATATATGAATAAAAATGGAGTACTTATTCTTCAGAAGACAGATTCCAATTATGTGGTGTAGAGAATAAAAAAGTAAGGTTTTCCACCACCTTGGGTTCCTTGGGAAGGCTTCACTGGCCCAGATCAGTCTATATAAAAGTTCTCTTACGTATTTAATTGAGCCAAAGAAAGTTTTTTATGGAGTTACAGGCTTTGTATCATAAGGTTTTGAAAGTTAATGCAACAGGGTGTCTGCAAAAGCAGAAAAAGTTTAAAAGTTCCTTCTGATTATAAGGCTGAATATTTTCCCTCCTTCTAGGGATGGGAGAGAGGGAGATCACCCACCAGTATCAGAGATGTTAGCTCCATATCTTCATCCAAGCTTAAAATATCAGATACTGTCAAATGAATTTGCAGCTGTTTTGATCATGGTCATACACACTTCTGTTGACTTTTCTGCTGTCCAGGAATGAAACCAACACTTTACATTCACAGTTCTTTCAACCAAGTCCAGTTATGCAAGCGTCTAATCATCCTGATGGTCCTGAACTGGGCTGTCTTCAGTTATTCAATATCTTTTTATCTGAGAAGAATTGGGCACAGTATTCCAGTCCTAACACGTTAGTAATCCCTGCTTCTTCCTACTAAGCATTAACGTGTTGAGCAGGAACTTTTGGCTCAATTGTCTCTTCCAGCAGAAAAGGAACTAATTAATTTCTCTCCACTTTCTTTGTTGGGACCCTATGTCTCTTCTCGACCTTCTTTTTTTTTTTTTTTTTTTTTTTTGTATTAAAGGAGAGCTGCTATCTTGGTGCCATGGATGCCAAGCTTTGAAAATGTCTTGTCCTAAGAATCACTGCTCTCCTCCTGCTTAAGCCTTGCTTTTAGCAATTCTATTCTGCACCCTGAATCTTCAGCCCTTGTCGTTTCAGCATCACTGTTACCACTCTGATTTCCTGCTTAACTTTCTATGGAACAAAATCCAGTGATCTCTTCCTGAATCCCTTCATCTGACAACTCAGTGATTGAAGAAACCTCCTACAGACAAGGTCCACCCCATCTCAGCTACTGGGAAACTTACTTCAGCCCATAACTGGAATGACTAACCACACCTCCCCAGCTCTGGCTGGGTTGATGTCTCTGATGCAGTAAGAACATCCCAGTTCTTCCTATATCAGGAGCAGTATCCTGTGCTGTGTCACCACCATCTCAAATAA